AGCGGCAACAACCATATCAATAGCGGTGGAGGTCAGATCTGAAACGGGGGTCGGTTTTGAGGTGGAGGCGGCGTCGGGCGGCGACTGACGATCGGCAGTGGACTGAGTTCTGGTCGGCGGGAGAATGATTTGCAGGCCTCAAGGGTGTTGTTGTCAAGTTACAAACAATAACTCCTATTTAGGGGATTTTTAAATTTGTGTCCTATTTTAGCAATTAAAGATGCATTTACTCCCATTTAGGTAAATAACTCTAAAAAGTATGAAATTTAAAAAATCAACAATTGCATAAATTATGTAGGCAAATTATGTAGTGAAGATGCAAATCCGACAATTATGAATATGCATGCTCGAGAAGACGACAACTGACCTTGCTCTCTTTTGTTGTTGGAAGGATGATAAAAGAAACTATTATCTAGGGTTAAAAGATGGAAATGAGTCTGTTCCCGTGTCTGAAGAGGTGGGGATGTTTTTTTTGTTGAGCGAATAAGTCGCCTCTCGTCTGCGCGAATAAGTCACCTATTTCATTAAGTTCCAAGTAAACACAACTTAATGAATAAAGGTTAAGTCTAAGTCCTAACTAAACAACCCTGGAGTGTAGCCTACATAGCCAGTACAATCCTACTATGGTTGGTATTGGACTCATGCTTGTCCGTTTTAATTTGTTGAAGCAAATCAAATGCTTTCTAAAGCTATGTTGGGTTCGGTCATTCGGGTGAGTAGTGAGCTTAAACGATAACATAAACTCGTACTTTGTATGATAAACTACTAATCTAGGTTAAGAAGATGTTGAGCAAATCCAGTCCTCCACTTCATTAAGTACTATCATAATTCATAAATGGGATGAGTTTCAAATTAAACCTTAGTATAGTTTGAACGAGAAGGGTTATTGAGTGTTAGTATCTATTGTAAGTGTTGCACATCGAAAAAAGTAGCAAAATTATATTTGTACCCAGTCTTATACCCATTTTTATAACCACCATGTGTACGAAACACTTTTTTCTTGTGAATCCTGCTCACAGAAAAAAAAAAGATTTCACAGAAGTGTGTATAAGGGTGAATACAACAAGAATGATAGAAAAATTTATGTGTGCACCTATGTTATTAAAAAAATTGCTAATTTCAAATTCATTTATGTAATTTTATGGTATCTGAAGCTTAATATTTAAGTAAACAATTTTGCTATAGGGTACCCCAATATTGTACCCCATTCTCTTTATTTATTTCTCTTCCCTCTTTTATTCTCCCTCTTTCATCACCGTAGACCTCATCCCCCCTTTTTTATCTTCATTTCAAGAGCTCCTCCCAACTTTGAACGTCTTAATCAACATAAAGAATAATGAGCAGCCACAAATTAAACCTATTTCCCCAAGACCTTGTTAGTGAGTTAATATTTTATTTCTTGTTTTTTTTTTGAAATTTTTATTCAACTATTCTATTTCAATTTTGGATGTTATTACTTGGACTGTGATTTGTCCCAAACCAGACCAGACCAGATCAGAACAGACCATATTTGGGTAGTTATAAAAATACAAAGAAACCAGACCAGACCAGTTCAAACCATATCAGACCAGACCGGACCAGTTCAGACCAGATCATACCAGCAAATTACAGTCCAAGTAAAAACATCCTTGATGCTTATAAAGTGTTTGTTGAAATGCTTCAATGAACGCTTTTTTCTATGTCCACAATTTTTTATGTTCTTTCTCCAATTTCGTAAATGTATTTTTATTATTAATAAATTAATAAATGTTAAATATTTTCTATTTTTGTTTGTGTTGTCTATATTTGTTTGTAAGACTCGTGAAATTGTCTATCATTTGCAAAATAGATGTCTGTAATTGGTATTTAATTATATGTCATTTGCTTTTTATTTGTCTTTATTTGTTTTGAGTTGTCTGTAATGACTTGTCTGTCATGTTGTTGTGAGGATTGTGTAAGAGTCATGAAGTTGTCTGTCATTTTAAAAATACATGTTTGCAATTCATATTTAGTTGTCTGTCATTTGATTCTGTGTTGTATGTAAGTTGTGGTGTGTATTTTTTGGAGATGTAATTAGTTATCTTCAAAATTGTGTTTCGAAGTACATTGGTTAAAGTTTTACGGCTCTATGAAGACTTGTAGGAGTTCATCTTATGTTAGGGATTTGTGTGTAGGTTGCCATATCTGCTTCGCGCAAGTGATGTCCAACCGTGGGAAGTTGAAGGAGTAGAGTGGGTGCCTCATTAGCATGCATGTTATTAAACTCAATATTTATTGCATTACATGTATTTTTGAACATGTTTTTTTTCAAACATTACATATTACAATTGGGGAAATGTGTCGAATATTGTACAATTTTATGTGTTCATTGTTGTACAATGTTGAACAATTGGATTGAGTTTTTTTAATATGTGCGAGTTTTTGCAAACATTACACGTACAATTATCCACTTATGTATGTTGATCTTTTGTTTGTCTTGGTATCCGCAGCATTGTGTGTATGTGTAATGTTTTTGTCTCTCTGCGTAAAAATAATATTTGTCTAGTTATCTCAATTGTCTGCCTAAAAATATGTGTTGTCTGTCTTTTTACGAAACATATGCAAAAAATGGTAATTTACAACAAAGTAATTTTTGTATATGTATACTTATTGTCTCCATGTGTATACTTAATGCCAACAACGGTAATTCACAACAAACTAATGTTTCAATCCAACCCTTTATCATTTACACATTGTGTTAATACGGGAAATTAATGTTCACTTTTCAAAAAATGGTTGTTCAAAACTACATACAATGGTTAATCACTTCCAAGAACAACTTTGAAGACAACTAATTACATCTCAAAAAATGCACACCACAGCTTACATGCAACTAACAATCAAATTACAGACAACTAAATATGAATTACACACATGTATTTTTAAAATGACAAACAACTTCACAAATCTTACAAACTCCTCATAAGAACATGACAGACAAGTCATTACAGACAACTCAAAACAAATATAGACAAATAAAAAGCAAATGATGGCCAATTAAATACCAATTACAAATCCGGAGTATACAAGCACTACAATTACAAGTGGTCTGTCACACAGACAACCCTTTTCATTTTGAAAACATACAAAAAATCAAGAAAACAAAATCAAGAAAAGAAGGTCTGCTCAAGACTCAAGTCATCAAACATACTATAAAATACATTTGTAAAATAAGAAGATGTGCATACAGACAGTTGTTCTATGTACTCAAACAAATAAATTTGTCTGTCCAGACAGACATCTTATGCAAGACTCTACCAACTATGAAACCATGTTCAGCTAGACAGACGTTGCACTTCAAATTTGTCTGTCAGACAGTCAACCCTTTTCATTTGGAGTTGGACGAAAAAAATACCAACAAATGAGAAAAAAAGACCATCTCAAGTCTTTCAAGACTTCATTGATCAGACCTTCATCCTCTTCTTCCCGGATGACATATTACCTATGTCACCACTGTGACCTTCATCATCACCATTGTCACCATGGTCTCCCCATGTCATGCCATCCAAAGCAATTCATCACTAAAATCAAATATATCGTCCCCCATGATATCCATTGAAGAAGATGAAGGAACAGATCAGATGAGATGATGGCCTTGTGCACTGTAGCAGCTTTGAAGGAAGCTCCATTTTTTACGGAAAAGAATAGAGTGGGTAGAGGAGAAAGAGGTGTTATGTGAGGCACAAATGGGGTATACCTTTGGGGTACCTATAGCAGAATTGTTAAGTAAATCTCTCAATCTTCCTCAGAAATTGAGGTGCACAGTCAAATCCTCTTGAAATTGAAATATGAATGGGGTCATTTAGTCATGCCATTAAATTGGAGTATGTTTCATTCAAAAACGAGAATAAAACAATGGAGGGGACTGTTGTCATTGCCTCCACAACGGATACACCCCTAGCCGTAGTTTAAACAAAATAATTGTAGAAGTTCATTATTATACCATTTTACTTGGACTTCAATTTGCTGATCTGGTTTAGTAAAGGTCCACATAATTCTTTATTTTGCGTGTCACAAATGGCCACTTGCACGCAGAACAATAAAGTAAAAACTATATGATTGAGATTTGTGCAGAAGAAGGAGAATATTACTTTAACAATCTAATTGTACTGTTACTTTAAGTAAAAATGACAAAGTTTTTTGGACTGACTAAACATTTTGGATAAGTTTTGTGGGACATATGAAGAATAATACCCCGTTATTAACATAAGTGAGGTTTAAGTTATATTTGTGATTGAATTGGTTGAAATTATTATTGAAGATCATTGTAGCTATTTTCCACAAGATTTTATCTTTATTAATCATTAAAAAATTAAATACAATACTTTCACAAATCAGCATATTAGTGAAGTTGCCCATCAGCTAGAATTTCATCACTGCTTTCAATAGATTCAACTCATTTAACTGTTTCCTATGTTACCAAATAATGAGGACTAAAATTTACTCTCTTTGCCCTTTTAAATTTGATCATGTTCGTCTGATACAGGAAAAACTGCGTGATTGAAATTTGTGCAGAGAATAGAAAGTTAATATGAACTACAAATTCTCTAAAAATGAAAAAATTAGTGAAACAATAATAAAAATTGGCAATATTATAAGAGGCTGGGAGAACAATTTAAAACTTGCCAAATTAAAGTGATTTTGAGCCCGTTTAGTAATCCTGTTTTTCAAATTATCAACCAACTTTTTTTTCGAACACATAATTTATTATTCCACGCATTCAATTGTGTAATATTAAGAAAAAATAAGCTGAGATTGCTTTTCTAGTTACATTGGCTGAAGTTATTGTAGAAGAGCATTTTACTTCTTTTTACATATAACTTTTTCTTACTTTATTAATAAAAATAAATTTTAAATATAATTTTTCTATAAATCAATAAAATCAATCAATTCAGTCATTTCACTATTTCCGCAATCTTATAAATTTCAAAAGAGGCTCTAAAAGTTATTGGGCCAAAGTGGCAGTGTTTGATCCGGGCCAAATTAAATGATTTAAAATGTCTCTACCGCTCATCTCAGTCAGACGGTCGTACGCTATATCGCTCTCTCCCGTTGCTAGCTCCTCTTCCCCTTAGGTCGCACACAGTCGACACCACGCCGTTGGTCTAGTATCCAGAGGTTAGTCGATTACTACTAACTGTCTGTCTTCTTATTTTATCGCATTTATTTTGTTTGTTCCTACATACTCCGTATCTTTTACTAGTGTAACTTATCAGCAATGTAGAAGATCAAATTAGAGGGTGTTGTTGAGGTTCGTTCTTCATCTGTTATTTCGGTTAAACGATGAATAATTTCATAAATTTAGGAGTTGTAATAAGCTTCAATTTAATGACCAACCAATATGCCCGCAAGCCCGGCAGTGTTGCCTTAGTACGGAGGAGAGCCAAAATTCTGCAGATTAACTGTGAGCACGTGTCACATCATCCCGTGATGACATCATGATGGTTTCATAGTAACGTCATCATTTTCAGGAGGGAACAGTTGCCCCAGACGGTCCATCTTTTTTATATATAGAGATACAGAATAGCATATTAGCATGTACATCTATAGTGAATGTAAATGTATCGCTTTAGATGAAGAGTTAATGTGTTAAAGATATGAATTTTGAAATCACATTTGTTTTTTTTTATTATCAGAAAAGCTCCGGGGATTAAGTTTTTTTATGGTACTTCAGTTTTTACAATTTGTATTCAAATGACCCATCTTCTACCATTTTGCAATCATGTTTTTTTCCCATTCTTGTACTCTACACAAATCATATGGAAAATGATGCATTTATATGAGCTAAATATAATAGATAAACATTACATCTCTCCTTAGTTTGACATGCACTCATGATTTGTGAGCGAGTGAATGTCTATTTAGTACTACCTCAGTCCCATAATGTAAGATACATGTGGGTTTGGCACGGGTTTGAATAAAATAAAACATAAAGTAGTTGTTTTAGAAACCTAACCTCCAAAAAGTAAGATACATTCACAAAAAGTAAAGGGTAAAGTAAGTGATAGAAAGAGTGATAAAGTGGGAAGCTAAAAAGTTAGTGGAGTTCAATTCCATAAAATGTTCATATTTTTGGGACAACCCACAATGGAATATATTACAAAATGGGATGGAGAGAGTATTTCTTTGTTCCATATCAATCAGAGAATTCATTTCTCCATCAAAATTTGTTAGTATGAAAGACAAACATCAAAAGGATTCCGATTGTTTCAAAGAGTAATTTTGCTGTAGAAAGCATATAACGAATGTAGGCTTCTTATACACATAATACACAAATCTTCATTGTTCATAACTTGAAAGTGATTCACATTCGTGATTATCAAAAACTGCCCATGATTTTAAACATATTTTGCAATACTATAGTGGAAAGAATAAATGAGCACCACCAACTGCAGATTTATACTTAAAGACACGAGCATGAATGCTATTTGATATTTGTCAGACGCGTGACTATAAGATGGTATGGGTAGAGAGCTTGATGGATGAGTCCTAACAACCAAGGACTTTTCAGAGGATTAGGTGATTCATATAACATATGGGCACTAGGCATGCTTCTCTCCTTTTTGAGTCGGTTACGAAAAAATCACATGGGAAAGAAAATGGAAGAAAAAGCATAAGGGAGACTAGAAATAAAAATAGTGAGAAAATAGACATTCATTAGCTACTGAAGTCAATAAATTTACTGTACATATAATGAATGTAGGATTCTTATACACATATTACACAGAACTTCATTGTTCATAACTGAAAGCGATTCACATTCCTGTTTATAAAAAAATGCTCATGATTTTCAACATGTTCTGCAATACTATATTTGAAAGAATTCAAGAATAAACTGAAGTCATATATGATTTGTGATAAGAATTGCCTAGAAATGAGAGGCTATTTATTGTATAGCAGAGGTAAACTTTGCACAGGAATCGAGTTACAATTCCATCTGATTTTCTATTTTCAAGTGATGGCATCTTATTTGAAATGTTTTTTGCATTTATATATTAAAAATGGATTGTACTGTCTTATTTTTACGCATGTCTTGCCCTATAGCTGGCAGGACTTGCTGTCTGAGTTGACATGTTGTGGACAATTAAAATGGGAAGTAGGCCAGTCAACTGAATGCTGTTTTTTTATTTAGTTTGTTAAAAGTTTTATGCAGATGTTATCTCATGGTGTAATGTCCATTCCTTGTTGTACACCTCTTTTAGCAAGATGTCTCCATCGCTGAGCAATTTTTTATTTTTATTTTATATTTTATTTTAAATGGGAATTGTTCAATGCTGCTTCAAGGTCTATATTCTTGCCGTGGGCTTATTTCGGCAGGAGTACTTTTGAAAGATCCTTTTGCATTTATATAATGATTGATTTTTAGAATTACTCATTTAGGGTGTGTGTGTATCATTTAGATTTCTTTAGAGTACATTTGAAGTGTTTTGTGCCTTGTGTTGTTTGGTAAGACTCAAATTCCAAGTGTTCTTCGGTGGTGCTAATTTAGCAAAACTTTGTTAATATTTGTAGGAAAGTTTATGGTGTGTTTGTGCCTTTGCATTTATGGTGATTTGATATCATGGCTAGCACATGGCTCAAAAAGCAGCTGCATGATATCACACGATTCACACATAACGGGGGTTCTTGTTTTACATTAATATTCATATTTATTGTGGTATCTCTCTCTACTCAGCATACTGTTTTACCCAGAATACTTCCATATATAAAACTTTCTACATATGCTATACGGCTATACCGTATAAGCCCCTAATTCATGTCCTTCCGTTTCCAATCCTGGGTTTCACTTGCTATGCTCTGTGCCTCCATCTTTAGTCTGACCTGCTTCAACTTCTAACCTTGCCAATCTCATAAAAAATATGCTCATTTCAATTATCCAGACATAGAGCATGATTTTAGACGTTTTTTTTTATCATTGATGAGTTTTAGATCTATGTCAACACCACTCAATTATCCATACGCATCTCATTTTTATGAGATGCGTATGAAGCACCACTATACTGATCTTATTTTTGCACTTCTTTATAAGGCATCTTGCCTTTGATTTTGTTACTGTTTCTTTAGTCAGTTTTGCCTTGAAAATTGACAAAGGGAACTGTATCAGTACATATATAGATAATAGATTGATGATTGCCAAATCCTTTTTGTATGTACGAGTAACAAAATACATTTTGTGTGTATTAGGGCGGATTTTTTTACTAGAGATTAGAGAAGCATGGATGACAGTTTGTATGACGAATTCGGTAATTACATTGGACCGGAAATTGATTCCGATAGGGAAAGTGATAGGGAAGAGGATGACGACGAGCTCCCTGATAGGGATGATGTTGATGAGGATGCATCTGATGGTGAACATACACATGGAGCATCAAATGGGTGGCTTATCAATCAAGATGATGTTGACATGGATAATCAAGTTGTCCTTGCTGAGGACAAGAAGTATTACCCTACAGCTGAAGAAGTTTATGGTGAGGAAGTGGAGACATTGGTGATGGATGAAGATGAACTGCCCCTCGAACAGCCAATAATCAAACCCGTTAAGAACCTCAAGTTTGAATTGGGTGTCAAGGATTCATCTACGTATGTTTCGACTGAGTTTCTCTTTGGTCTCATGTCTAACCCCACATTAGTTCGGAATGTTGCTTTGGTTGGACACTTGCATCATGGGAAGACATTGTTCATGGATATGCTGGTAGAGCAAACTCATCACATATCTACATTTGACCAACACAGTGAGAAACACATGAGGTATACAGATACAAGAATCGATGAGCAAGAAAGGAAGATCTCTATCAAGACTGTACCTATGTCATTAGTTCTTGAAGATAGTAACTCCAAGTCATATCTATGTAACATCATGGATGCCCCTGGTCATGTCAACTTCTCTGATGAAATGACTGCTGCCCTTAGACTTGCTGATGGTGCAGTCTTGATTGTTGATGCTGTTGAAGGTGTAATGGTAATTTTATGTCAAAATACTACACCTGTTATAGCTTGTGACCTGTTTTGCATGAGTTTGATGAATTCTATGTTTCACATTCGACGATTCTTCATGATTTTTCATATAACGTCTGCACATTAACAGGTAAATACTGAAAGAGCTATAAAACATGCAATCCTAGACCGCCTTCCTATTGTTGTTGTGATCAATAAGGTACAATCTTCCAAACTGTGTACTGTTTCTGCTTTGTTGCTTGAACTGCTATGAATCACCTGTTTTATCTCTCTATGTCTAATGGCTCTTTTTTTATTTCTTAAATTTCAAAGGTTGACAGGCTGATTACAGAACTTAAACTACCCCCTAAGGATGCCTACTTTAAGCTAAGGCATACTATTGAAGTTATCAATACCCATATCACAGCAGCATCTACCACAGCTGGAAATGTCCAAGTCATTGATCCTGCTCTGGGAAATGTTTGTTTTGCAAGTGCCACTGCCGGATGGTCTTTCACTCTCCAGTCTTTTGCAAAACTTTATCTGAAGCTACACGGAATTCCATTCGATGCGGATAAATTTGCATCCAAACTGTGGGGAGATTTTTACTTTGACAGCGATAGCAGGAGTTTCAAGAAGAAACAACCTGCTAATGGCGTGGAAAGATCTTTTGTGCAGTTTGTTCTCGAACCCCTTTACAAGTTGTACAGTCAAGTAATTGGAGAGCATAAGAAGAGTGTTGAAGCAACTTTAGCAGAACTTGGTGTGACCCTTCCAAATGCAGCTTACAAGCAAAACGTTAGACCCTTACTGAGACTCGCTTGCAGTGCTGTTTTCGGTAGTTCCACAGGCTTCGCTGATATGCTTGTACGTCACATTCCATCTGCCAAAGCAGCAGCACCTAGGAAAGTTGAGCACATATATACTGGTCCAAAAGATTCTGTTATTTATCAAGCAATGGAAGATTGTGATCCTGCTGGCCCTTTAATGGTCAATGTGACCAAACTGTATCCTAAGGCGGATTGCAGTGTATTTGATGCTTTTGGTAGGGTCTATAGTGGAGAACTCATGACAGGACAAACTCTACGTGTTCTTGGAGAAGGGTATTCACCAGATGATGAAGAGGATATGACCGTAAAAGAAGTAACAAAGATCTGGGTATATCAGGCGCGATACAGAATACCTATAAGCAAGGCTCCTCCGGGTTCGTGGGTTCTAATTGAAGGTGTTGATGCTTCAATTATGAAGACTGCTACACTTTGTAACGCTAACTATAATGATGACGTGTACATATTTCGGCCTCTTCAGTTTAATACTCTTCCAGTGGTGAAAACAGCAACCGAGCCTTTAAATCCGAGCGAGTTGCCAAAAATGGTGGAGGGGCTTAGAAAGATTAGCAAAAGCTATCCTCTTGCAATCACTAAGGTTGAGGAGTCCGGGGAACACACGATTTTGGGTACTGGAGAGCTATACTTAGATTCAATAATGAAGGACCTTAGAGAGCTCTACTCTGAAGTGGAAGTGAAGGTGTTTTTTTAAAGCCTTACTTGTGTGGTTCATTGCGTTAAAAATATATCCCCTATTTATGGCTTGATTATTCCTTTCCCCCATTGATGTAGGTTGCTGATCCAGTTGTCTCCTTTTGCGAGACAGTGGTGGAGTCATCCTCAATGAAGTGTTTTGCTGAAACTCCGAATAAGAAAAACAAAATCACCATGGTAAGACACTTTGAGCCAGTTTTGTGACCTTGTTTTTTGGCTTATCAGCCAACTTTTTCACCAAACATGTAAATTTTGTTTTCGCGCGCTAAGTTGTGAAATATTCAAAATAAGTAAGTTACTGTAGATGATAATTTTGGCTATTTTTTATATATTTTTTCTTTATTTTATTAATAAAATACTATCCTTCGTATCGCATTAGTTGCAACATTGCAAATTACACACTATTCATGTACTCTACTTTGACTACATTTTATTTATTAATGTAAGTGGATTATGTTTTTTGAAAAATATTGTTGAATTCGTCTCATTAAAAACTATGTTTGAAGAACTGAACCGGACCGGCCGGGTCAGCCCGGAACTCGCCGACCCGGGCTCCAATCCGGTCCGGTTAGACGCCAACCCGCTAATGTATAAGAAACCGGAATTACCCACTAACCCGTGCTCACCCGGACCGCAACCGGTACAGCCCAAACCCACCGAATGGGCAAAAACCCGGAATTTCGGTAAAATCCAGCTCTCAAAGGGATTCGATCCCTGAGTTTCAAACTGAAGCCACACCCGTTTTGCCACTGGACTACACCGGGGAGTTTGGAAACTCGGTTCTTTAGCTATTATTATACTATACTTGTATAATTTGTTTACTTTACACATTAGTAGTTAAGTATTATTTATTACTCTCTAATTTTTAGTCATAATAAATAAACACTTAATAGGAGTAATATTTTATTATAAGTTTTTTTTTGTAGATATTTTATTATTAGTTAAAGTCGATATTTTATTATAAGTTAAAGTAGAGATAAGCATTATATTTGTATTTATTGCCCATCTAATTTTAAGTACATTTATATCATGTTAAAAATTGTACATCTTTTAGAATAATAGTCTTACATACATTTTATATTTTGTTATAAATAGCACATTTAATAATAGTAATTGTTCTTTAGGTTTGACTGGGTTTTCCGGCGTTGACCGGATTGACCCGGCGGGTCCGGGTTGACCCGTGACCCGATCCTTCGGCCGGGTGGCTTCTCGGTCCGGTTTTTACATCATAGATTAAAAAGTTTCATAATCTGATTTTTAATTATTTTTTACTAATACAAAATTAAATATAATGACAGTCAAAGTTGTGCATTGGCAAACGTGAAAAAGTGAATGTTGCAACTAAAAAAGAGCGGAGGAAGTATATTTTAAATATAATATTTTCATAATTTAGCAGAATCAGCCGATTAAGCCAATTTCAGTGTTCCCAAATGGGCTTTTTGTCTATTAGCTTTGTGCTAAGATAGTGCTCATTTGGCAAGAATTATTTTTTCTGAAATGGCTGAAATTTTCTGAAAGGAAAAGTACTGACCAAAATTGATTTCTGCCACTTAAGCGAGTCAAAGGCTACTAATTTTGCTTATTCTGTTCAAAAGAGAAATAGGCATAATGAGCTGATTTATGCTACCAATTGAGGGCTAATTCTTGAAAATGTAAGTTCCCGCTTAACTTGATGCTCTTGGAGCTCTATAGATTGCTGAGCCCCTGGAGAAAGGACTTGCTGAGGACATTGAGAATGGTGTTGTGAGTATAGACTGGCCAAGAAAAAAACTTGGTGACTTTTTCCAGACGAAGTATGACTGGGATTTGCTTGCTGCACGATCTATTTGGGCATTTGGACCTGATAAGCAGGTAATGATAACTTTCATCTTGGGATTTCATTTAAATATATTTTCTATGAGATGTTCTCACCCTTGAGGTTTGTTAGACTTGCTGATGGTTCAATGCACTAACAGGGGCCTAACATTTTGTTGGATGATACATTGTCAAGTGAAGTCGACAAGAGCTTATTAAATGCTGTTAAAGATTCAGTTGTTCAAGGGTAGCTTAAATGATTCCCTCTACATATATTTTATATGTAGTAATAATTAGATTTTTTCACTTCTGGTTCCATTACTTGGTCATTTCACTTTTGCCCCTGCGACTTTTCCCACTTTTAGTGCATGTCTGAATTTCTTACCAAGCTCTCCTCACCACTTATCCAATATATTCCCACACATTTCCTATTGATTTTTCTGGATAAGCTACTGGACCAAAAGTTGCTTGAAATCCATAGTCTTGCATCAAAAGTGAAAAAAATGAAAATTGGCGGCCAAAGTGCGAAGAAACTAATAGTCACTAATACCAGATAATTTCTAAGAGTTATAATGAGCCCTGTCCTGAAACTTCGACTAAATACTTTTTAACAGGTTTCAGTGGGGAGCTCGTGAAGGACCATTATGTGATGAGCCCATCAGAGGCGTCAAGTTCAAAATAGTTGATGCAAAGATTGCTCCAGAGCCATTGCATCGTGGAACGGGCCAGATAATCCCTACTGCAAGACGTGTGGCGTACTCATCCTTCCTTATGGCCACCCCACGGCTTATGGAACCTGTATATTTAGTTGAGGTATTTTTTTGGTAAATTAATCTACAAGTTTACTGTTACGTATAGATAAAGTAGGATTTAATGATTTTTTCTCACTATTCTTAGCATCAGTTGTATTTGATTATTTGCGATGAGACTATGAGAGAGCTTTTTAGAATAGTTTTGTGTTAGAACTTTGAAGTTTTGGCATCAACAATAATAGTGTAAATCTATTTGATATACTTCTTTACTAGCTTATGCTATGTCCTCTTATGTGGGGATTACTTTACCAGAGTTAACAAAACCTGTAAAATCTCTATTCTGTATAATCTGAACTATAAGTAATATTGTAAGCCTGGCTCTCTTTCTGGATTATACTTCGTGTTTATCAGTTTATGTGATAAGTTGCTAGTTACCAAAACCATAAATTTCTGTGGAATGGCCTAACCCCCGTTGACATCTCTTTTCTGGACTTGAATGGTTAACCTCCATTGCTTCAGTTACAATAGCCTGCAAAATAAACCATGCATTTGTCCCTGTATAGTCTCAACCGATTTGGCTTGTTTATATAGATAATACATGTACCCTAAACATGTTCAGATGTACTGTTATGAATCAGAATTTTTAGAATTTTGTATTTCCTATTTTTACAATAAACCATTTTTGTGGTAATTGTTATTTCAGATACAGACACCTATCGACTGTGTCTCTGCTATATTTCAAGTATTGTCACGCAGGCGTGGACATGTTACAGAAGATGTTCCTCAACCGGGTACTCCAGCCTACATTGTCAAGGTTTGCTCTCTAAAACCTTAGGGGTATAACCATAGGAACCGAGTATCTAAGGTGTCTGTATAGGGAACCTCTAAGGAACCGAACCGCCGACCATAACTGTAGGTTCCAGACCGCCTGTACTACTCGGTTCTGGTTCGGAAACCTCTGGTTCCGGTTAAACCAGAAACCGAGGACTAGTCTAGGTATATATATGGTCTGCTTTTATAAGGTGTGCTGTTACTTATCCCATATGAGAACTGCAAGTGCTGATTTATTTAAAAAAAAGTTCATCAAAACATATGCTCCTGAGGGAGTATCTATTAAATTCGGGACCAGAGGGAGTATCTATTAAATGAAATACATTGTATACAAATTATGGTTGGAATATCAATTTCTTACATTTACAGCACTTTCAGCCAAAGATAATAAATACTCATGCACATTTTTTTCATAATACCCAATGCTAAGTTAATTATTAAAAGGGAAAACTATCAAATAAGCCCCACAACTTTTCAAGAAAATCAATTAGGCCCCCTTAGTGAAAGTTTGCCCAATCAAACCCCCGAACTTATTAAAAAAATGTCAAATCTTCTTTCTAACAGGTGATGCATACGTTACCTGTTTACTATGTACACATGGCAACAGACATGGCTATTTTCATTTTTTCATTTTCTTTTTCTTTTTCCTTTCTTTTTTCCCTTTTCCTCCACCTTCTTTCTCATTCCACCAGTCTGTTCCAATCCTGCAAATTTCTGCCTTCATCCCTTTCTTTTCTTCCACCTTTCTTCTCCTTACCAACCACCCTTTCTTCTCCACCTTTCTTCTTTCTTCTGCCAAGCAAGCATTGGTCTTCCGCTGGCACAGCACTGCACACAGTCCGAGAGGAACCCTGGTCGCCGGAGATGCTCAAGTACTTCGCACGACGGTCATTCTCTTTCCGCGATTCGATGGATTCAAAGTCGGGGAAGATGCTCCGTCAAAGCTTCTGGGTCAGCAAGTCGGCGACGGTGCTCTGTGAAGCCTCCAGACCTCTTGATAGGATATAGACCAGTTGACAGAGTATCGAGGAACACAATGAAGAAACGTGAAGAACGTAACAACTGAAAGCTTCGTATTATAGAAGAAAGAGAAATAAGTCGGCAATTAGAGAATGCCAGCTCCCAAGTCCCGATGTCCCAAGTCCCAAAATAATTCCCACCCCTTTACTTCTACCCTTCTATCCCCTTTTATAATATTTCTAATGGGCCAGCCCACTATTACATTTTATTAAAATACTCTATTATATCTCACTCCATAAGCCGATAAGTTCAGGTCTCTATCATCACTCCCCTTTTTGACAACCACCTTGTCCTCAAGGTGGGGAGTGACTAAGTAAGAACAGCTGTGTCATTATGCTTTATCCTCGTTCCTCTGCCTTCCCAGTACTTCAGCTCGTATAATTTTCTTTGTTTTGATCTCCCCTTAATCTCTTTGTCCACAAAGTGATCATGTTGGCCACAGTTGTTATCTCCTTCCCTTCCCAAAGTCTGATCTCTTGTAGAATCTCCAATGTAGAGTACATAGTTAGCTTCGTGACTGTAAGTCTCAGTCTTCACATCAGCACCCGAGGAAGGTAAGATAGAACTCAGTACATAGTCACCGGGCCTACTCCATGTGCCTAAGATTTCTCCCAGATTCTCCCTCTCCATTTGTATCAACATCTTACCACGAATCCAATCATACTTGAAACCTTCCAGTAAGTATTTGTCTCTAATATTCTCAGCAACAGACTGGATCCCTTTATTATCTATGCAAGTCAGGGCACAACATGCTGCCTCATAGAGAGCAACAACCTGCTTACCAAGATCTTCCTTATAATTCTCAACTGTTTGCTCAGTCAACCTATTCAACCTTACCACAGCTTGATTCATAAAGTCCATGCCTACAGGGATTGGGTTCCACTGGTGTTCGAGAGTGAACTTATCAGCAATTTCAGTGTGCCCTTCCTTCATCCATGGATTGGCTGTTTCCTTTACCACTTTAGTTTCAATCCTTGCAGAATTGAACAGGCAGTCTTCTTCTCCACTTGCTTGAATCTTTTCAGTGATAAATTGGAGAGGAACTTGGTGTCCGCTGCGATGAGCATCTCCCTGAAGCTTCCTGACTACTCCCTTTTCCTTCCATTTAATGGTGAGCTGGTTGAAATTAAATTCAACATTTCCCAAGCTAGATAACCATTCCAGACCCAAAACCATCTCATTTTCCCCCAATTCTAAGACATAAAAGTCTTGAGTGATGGTAGATTGTGGTACGTGAAGACACACAGCTTCACATTTCCCATTGTTTCTGATTATGTCTCCATTTCCTATCTTCACCTCAAATTATGGGATCTGTAAGGTAGGTAGGTCTGCTGCTTGAACTACCTTATGAGATATAAAATTGTGGGTAGCCCCACAATCAATTAGAATGATAATATCTTTAGTCCTTCTGCCGCTTGTTAATTTCCCTTTCACTCTGAAAGTCTTCGGGACTGTGTTTCCTTCTTTGCTCATGGAAGACAACTGCATATTAGAGGGGCCTGCTTCTTTCCACTTTGGACTAATAGCCATTGAATCCTTTACCACTTCATCCTCATCATCAGATTCATCTAGCATTATGATCTGATAGTGCTTCATCTTGCAAATGTGGCCTTTTCCCCACTGTTCTCCACATCTGAAACAAAGGCCTTTTCTGCTCAGCTCCTGCAATTCAGCTTGAGACAATCTGTGTGTAATCCTTACTCCAGTCTCCTTTTCTCCTGTGTCATCGCTCTTCTCCATGGTAGGTTTCTCAGAATTATTCTGGGTACTCAAACTATGCTTCCACTTGTCCTCATTCAACCATCTTTGCTGCTGTGAGGAAACACTCCCTTTTTCCTTTAATCCCCTTCTATCCTCTTCCCTGAACTTGCTTGAACTCAGAGTGATGTTCCTTTCTTCTACCCTCAGAGCCTTATTCATAACTTCTGTCAATGTACTGACTGGATTCAGCTTTAACTCAGCTCTAACTTCGGCTTTCAGTCCCTTCATAAAAATCCCTTTGAGAAATTTTACATCAGTGTTCTTTAAAGGACCTGCCACTAGCTCAAATTCATCCCGGTAATCCATCACACTCCCAGTCTGCTTCACACTAAGCAAAGGACCATAAGGATCCTGTTCCAGACCTGGTTCGAATCTCTGTAATAAAGCCTGTTTAAATAATTCCCAGTTTCTTACATTTGAGTGTTCCTCCCACCATTGATACCAATTCAATGCTCTTCCTTCCATGGCTAAGGTAACTAGCTCAATTTTATCTTCCTCAACAATACGGTTTAGTTTAAAAAAACGTTCAACCTTAATGGTCCATCCATAAGCATCGGTACCATTAAAAAGTGGCAAATCCACTTTTCTTCCAAACTTCTCAATCAATCTACTGTAGTTACCATCACGCTTAGAAGGAGTCGATCGCGGATTACCTGCAGAAGAACTGGAGTCGCAACTACTATTCCGCGGACTGACATTGGAAGATTTTGATCGACTGCGATGCCGCGAACGGGTTTTGGAGGACTTGGATCGGCTGCGAGATTGGCGATCGAGCTTCTCCATCATCATCGCGATATTGCGATTAACCTCCTCGCTCCGGATTCTAGCCTCCTCGCGATGCCTCTCCAGTTCGCGTTCGAGGTTCTCCGCCTGCCTTGCCAGTTCGCGCTCCAAAGTCTCCAATCGATCGTCTGGTAGCAACCATAAGAAGGCCTCGTGAACCTGCTCTGATACCAAATGATAGGATATAGACCAGTTGACAGAGTATCGAGGAACACAATGAAGAAACGTGAAGAACGTAACAACTGAAAGCTTCGTATTATAGAAGAAAGAGAAATAAGTCGGCAATTAGAGAATGCCAGCTCCCAAGTCCCGATGTCCCAAGTCCCAAAATAATTCCCACCCCTTTACTTCTACCCTTCTATCCCCTTTTATAATATTTCTAATGGGCCAGCCCACTATTACATTTTATTAAAATACTCTATTATATCTCACTCCATAAGCCGATAAGTTCAGGTCTCTATCACCTCTCCCAGATCCGCAGCTTCAATTTGGCCGTAGACCCTAGTCGACGGTAGAGAAGAGGTGCAGGGAGAAGGGTGAAGGCCAGGAAACTACGAGCAGAAAACTAGGTGGAAGAAGAAAATGGGGAAAGAAAGAAAGAAAGGAGTTGCAGAGATGGTGAGGCGCAGGGAAGAAAGCACAGGGAAGAAGAAAAGGGAGTAGGAAGGAATGAAAAAGAAAAAGAAAATAAAAAATAAAAAATGCCACCTCACTCACCACACACGCAATTAACCGGGGAAATTCATAGGATACCTACTAAAAAGAGGATTTGCCATTTTTAAATGAATTTATGGGTTTAACTGATTGAACTTTGAGTAGGGGCGCTGATTGATTTTTTGAAAAGTTGGGGGGCTTATTTGATAGGTTTCCCTTATTAAAACAATTGGATGAGAACTCACTCCAAAAGACCAGCCGATTAGGAGGAGGGGACACCTTGCTTAGAAGCCACTGATCAATCCCATACTTGACCGGTGTGGGATCGTAACAGAGTACTCCTCCCTCCGTCCCGGAAAATTGTTCCCGCATTGACTTGGAACGGAGTTTAAGAAAGTGGGAATAAAGTGGAAATGTATGGTTGTGGTTGAGTAAGAAAAAGGTAAATGAATTGTAGCCACAAAAAACTTTCCAAAAGGGGAAAGTGGAACAATTTTTTGGGACGGCCCAAAAGGAAACCGGGAACAATTTTCCGGGATGGAGGGAGTATCAGTTATAGAGCAGGCTGTTTCACTTCTATGAATAGTTTATGATTTTTTGCTTACATGCATTCATAGTGCATGGCTCAAAGGCATTTTTTCATGGTGCATGGCGATGGCACATATACGAATGGCGCATAAGGCGCATAAAGCGCTATGGCGATGACCACTTTTTCATGGTGCTGGCGCATATGCGTGTGCCATATCTCGCCATTGACTACTATGCATGCATTAGGTTTATCATATGTATAACATTACTTTCTCACTTGCTTTTGTGTAGGCATTTTTACCCGTTATTGAGTCATTTGGTTTTGAGACGGACCTGAGGTATCACACACAAGGGCAGGCATTTTGTGTGTCTGCTTTTGATCATTGGAGCATTGTTCCGGGCGATCCTCTAGATAAGAGCATTGTTCTTCGTCCACTAGAGCCCGCTCCAATTCAACACCTTGCCCGTGAATTCATGGTGAAGACGAGGCGTAGAAAGGTATTTACTCGACCATGTTTGCTCCAATTTTACTATTTTGTTCATGAGGCATCAAACGCTCGTAAGCATTAAACCATGCTATGAAACCCTCCCCAAAGTCCCAAACTTTGCAGACTTGACGTTTTCTTATTAACTATCCTAAATCTCATCTGGCTATTATTTTGTTTTACTAACAATTTCTCAGTACATTAACTTAACTACTTTAGATCCTGTGCGTTTAGTTATTGAGTGGTTGGAGTTTTCTAAAGTCTTGGGTTATAAACAACTCAAAGATCCTGTGCTCAGTACAATATATAAACATGTATTCAAAATATACCGGATTATAAACAATTCAAAGAAAGCTATATCTAGAAGTGAGGATATGATTTGACAATTCCCTTGATTTCATCAATTTTCACACAAAAAAGTTGCTGGTGCACTAGTTATTATTTGGGGTTTACTGTGCCAAACTTCCTCGTGGTATATAATTTTGCTCATGAGCCCCTGGTGATAAAAACATCAAAACCCTAATTCAACTATTGATAGTATTTTGTACTCTCTCCGTCTTAAGGGACGGAGGAGGGAATATAATTTAGGTATCTTGACAAATTGACGGGTATGTGTAATCATAATACATATTACATAATGCTAAATTTGCTGTTCCATATGGTATTATGTGCATGATTAATTAGAAACCAATGAGGTTGATGCATTTTTAAATCATGAGGGGCTAGCATGCCGGATTCATGCACATATTTTGGGGAATTGGTGCATTAAACTCTTGTTATTTTCTGACATAAAATAAATTAGAAGCTGTAGTGAGCCCTCCTAGCTGATCACGTCATTTAACTTTAATTTTACTTCATTTGTAATTTTGTCAGGGAATGAGCGAGGACGTGTCCATCAACAAGTTCTTTGATGATGCCATGATGGTGGAGCTCGCGCAACAGGATGCAGAGCTTCATCAACAAATGTTTTAGTGACACGAAGAAACCCAACTGGAAAGTACCCATCCATGAATGATCATCAACTCACTGAAACGATAAACTAACGAGGTGGTTTGGATCAAATTAACCAGAACTATTGGGATTAACCTGCAAGTTGTTTACCTAGTAGTCTTTTCTTTGTTCAAGTTTTGTTTTGTTTTTGTTGTTACTGTATTAAATACCTCATTATTGCATCCACCCATCCTTTGACAATGGTTAGCTGTATGTATGAGACGAGGAGTATCCAAGGCTTGTATCTTAATGCCTCATCTTTTAACATGGCGATGCATAAATTGTACTACGTATTTCTTAACACAAAGACAGCAGAAAATGGTATGGCATTATAAGGTCGCAATTGAACGGATCGGGCAAGCTCAAAGCCTCAAAGTAGTCAAAAAGTGCAACTTTCAATAAAAAAGAATTAGGTCCATCTGGACACTGGACAAAATCTCAGCCAGGCGATGCAGAGCTCATATAAGAAGAAAGTGGAGAAAACAAATGGTTAGTTAAGGAAATTCGAGTTTATTTTCTTATATACAGAGTGTTTGTTTTCTTTATCTTATATTCTTATGTAGAAGAATTAAATTAAATTTAACTCCGACGTCTTTCATATTTCTCAATGCATTGACCATTAACATACTACTACTACGTGTTGAATAAATTATTAGTAAAATGATAAAATGCATTAAAAAATACATTTTGATGAATGCAAATTTTGTTTATAATATAATGGTAAATTCTGTGGTACCTCAAGGCACCATACTTTATCTACTGTGGGTTAATTATAATTTTACAATTGAATAATTGCATTAATAAACAGGGGGTATTCTGAAAGTTTTCAACTAATAAAGAATATTAGTGCAAATATCCCCATAATATCTTATGACAATATTCACACAACAAAAATCACATACACCTACTCTGTAGTAGTCTAGTGCCTAGTGGCTCCCGGCGGTGGGTATGATTTTCATTCCTGCAACACTGCAAATTATACCGTGGGATTGACCCACCGTGTGCACGGTGTGCCTAGGCATGGACTTGGGCCGGGCCTCGGTTCAGGAAAGGGGAGGCCCAGATCTGGCCCGGGTAACCCCTGGGTCCGGGCCGGGCCTCGGTTCAATTTTTTTTTTTTTTGCCTTTTCCTAATTAACCCCTAACCACCCCCCTCACCCCAAACCATCCCAAACCATCTCAAATGACCCAAAATACTCAGCCCAACCCAAAAACTTAAAAAAAAATCAAAAAAAGAAAAAGAAAAAATAAATAAAATGGCCCGGACCGGGCCCGAACTGGCCGGGCCGGTTCACGTTTTGAGGGGCCCGAGCACGGACCGGAACCCCAGCGGGCCGGGCCTACCCGAACCGGTCACTGACCGGGCCACCGGGCCGGAACAGTTCCGGTTCGGGCCACCCGGCCCGAGTCCATCCTTAGGTGTGCCGATCCCTAAACGGCGCCGTTTCAATTAATAACAACCGTCTTCTTTCTTCCCAACTATCAGGCAGGCCGTTCGATCACCCCTTGCAGAAGCTCCGGTTGAATCCCGATTCCAGAGCAATCCCCTACTAATCCAAATGGTTTTTCCTTCATTCGCTTCTTTGAATTTGGAATTGACACCTCATGATTCCTGAGGAGAAAGCTTCGATACCTCCCTGCCCTATGTATGTGTTTGTGCTTGTAAAAACAAGTCTCTACTTGTCTCTGCTTATTCTTTGATCTTGTACTTTAATTACGATCATTCAATTAAACACATCACCATTTATTTAGAAAACTTAAATTTTAGAAAACTTAAAATTTAATTTGGCAAGTTACATTCCCATTAACCTGATTCACATTGCGTTTTGGCTTAAGTTACATTTGTATACTCGCGAGTTACATTTGAGCTTGTCTCAGAAAGTTACATTTTGCATACATGTGAGTTACATATTCAATCAACGCGAGTTACATTTGTCATAACGCGAGCTACATTTGAAAATAAACCCCTGCTAATGAAGAAAATAAAGGATTTTTTAAAAATCATTTTCAATGACTTTGACATTAAAAAATAAAAAATATACATGCACTATTTATGTGAAGCAATTTTGCAATTAGACTTTCTTTTTATTGTTTACATTTCGAATGTACTTGAGTTACATTGGTCAGCAACGTGAGTTACATTTCTTTACACGCGAGTTACATCACCCTGCTACTGGGATAAGGGAAAGAACAAAAAAAAAGTTACCGTTCACGTGCGTGAACAGTAACACGCGAATTTTGCCTTTGGGAGCACCATGCTCATCGTGGGTTGCTCCCACGGTATAACAACTCCTACAACACTCTTGCAGTCCCGCCTGTGATGCCAACTGGGATTGAATGTTTTCGGTCCCCTCACTTACACCAACGATCAAAGTAATACAGACACTCGGCCCAACAGTGGGTTGCCAAATCCAAAGAACAATATGAGGGAGTCATTTTTATTTTCTTTCCTTTTTCAGTACAATTTAATGTAATGATGAAGAAACATGAAATTAAACTAGTTATTATATGGTATTACAGAGTTTTAATACAAAAACTATACCGGCATAAATAATAGCACAAGAACACTATTTGCCCGTAGTCTTTATGAGTATATGACAGGTCTGAAACACCGCCGGTCTCTACAAAAACGTCAAAATATAAATGACGGGGATCTACATAACATAATCATAACAGATGAAGTGAGGTTTTCATATCTTCTAAACATGAGTGCAAATATCGTTGATTCTCTACAATGTATGGCCAAATTTATACATAAAAATACACCACATAAAGATATGCTTAAAAAGTAGAACACAAAACTATATAGAAACATACTCCGTATATCACAAAAGGGTATGCTTAAAAAGCATAATACAAAATAGCAAGAAACTCCAAAATAGGAGACGGCACGAACAATATCAACACAAACTTTAAACATTCATGATTAGGTTGACCAAAGCGTAAACAAAATAGCATTCTAAGTTTTTGCGGGACATTACACACACTCATGAAGTTTGACTCCAACGAGGGATGAAGTTGCCTTTGCCAACCGAAGTGTAAACATCAACATGGACGATATTACAATTTACCGGTACCCGGTCATTAGCACAACTTTGAAGGAAGGAAGACAAGATCTCATCCTTCGTTTTCATTGCTTCAATCAAATACACAGATTGAATAGAAAGGACTTGCGAGGAAGGTGACAAAAGCGTTTTATCAGAGTGATGATGGATCGACATGCACAATAATCAAGGATGTGAACTACAAGTTATTTCAACTTTCAAAAAGTTGTTGCTAAGTGAACTGACGTGTGCACCCATTCACATCAACTTCTCGAAAGGAGGCAATTCTTGAAGCAAATATTTGATAGTTGAATTCTACATATGAGAATTGATAATGAAAGATAGGGGGTGTTTGGATCTTATTCTTAAAACTGTTTCTGCTCCTTCAGAGAGTAAAAGTAGAAGTTGGAGTGTTTGGGTGTAAATGTAGAAGTGATTCTGATTCTCTAATTTACTCATAGAATTGGTTTTGTTAGAAGCTGGGGGGAAAAACAGGTTCTGAAAACTGATACTGATTCTACTTCTGCTTTAAAAAAGAAGTAGAAGCAGATCAGTTCCAAACACCCTCTTAAATGTACATTTATAAGATTTAATGGTGATTGTTAGAACGTTTTTTCTATGCTAAGGGCATCACCATTGTATACAAAACAATAATTTTGGGAAATAATGGCTTACCCTATTGGGTGCCTTGAGGGTGTATTTATACTAAAATCAAGTTTAGGAAATTACAACGCAATCCATGTATAACTACATTATTACACCCCCTCAATCTGTGTAGGGGAAACAATGCGCAGATTGGAACGTAAAAATTCAAAACGCTGACTAGATAAATTCTTAGTAAATATGTCAGCCAGTTGCAACTGTGTAGGAATATATTTGACAACAAGATCGCCATGTGCCACCCGTTCTCGGACAAAATGATAATCAATTTTGATGTGCTTGCTGCGGTCATGTTGAATAGGGTTAACCGCTAGATAGGAAGCAGAGACGTTGTCACAGTGAAGTGTGACTGGAGCCGAGATGTAGATGCCCATATCAGCTAGGAGAGACCTGATAAACAGTGTGTCTTGGACAGTATATGCAACTGCCCTGTATTCAGCTTCAGTAGACGACTTGGACACGGTGGGTTGCTTTTTGGACCGCCAAGATATGAGATTGGACCCAAGAAAGACTGCATAACCTGTAGTGGAACGAGAGCTATCTGGACATCCTGCCCAGTCTGCATCAGAATATGCAACAATAACAGAAATATTTCTGTCAGAAGTGAGCCATATGCCGTGAGATGCTGTCCCTTGTAAGTACCTGTAAATTCTTTTGACAGCCAAGAGATGAGCAGTACGGGGAGCATGCATAAACTGAGAAACCAGATGAACAGCATATGTAATATCAGGTCTAGTTATAATTAAATACTGAAGAGCACCTACCATACTGCGATACTCAGTAGGATCAGACAAAAGTTCTCCATCTGTGAGAGAGAGGGTGGTATGAGACGGGAGAGGAGTGCGGACAGGCTTTACTGTATGAAGATGAAATCTATGTAAAAGATCAGAAATGTATTTAGCCTGTGACAAAAATAAACCCTTGGGTGTACGTGTAGCTTGAATTCCCAAGAAATAATGAATATCACCCAGATCTTTCATAGCAAACTGAAGAGATAGTGTATGAATGACAGAATGAACAAACGATGAGGAAGAGCCAGTAATGAGAATATCATCCACGTACAAAAGAATGTAGACAACCTGGGAATGAGACCGATATACAAACATGGACGAATCTGACTTACTCTGTGTGAAACCCCGGCTTAATAAAAAACCACTAAAGCGATGAAACCAGGCTCTGGGTGCCTGTTTTAAACCATAAAGTGCTTTACGCAAACGACAAACATGATTAGGAAAAGAAGGATGAATAAACCCTGGAGGTTGACGCATGTAGACAACTTCAGTTAAAGAACCATGTAAGAAAGCATTTTTGACATCAAGTTGTCTAACGGTCCAACCCAAAGAAATAGCAACAGATAAGACGAGACGCACAGTGGTGGGTTTAACGACGGGGCTAAATGTTTCAGTAAAATCAATGCCAGCCTGTTGTTTAAAACCCTGAGCAACGAGACGAGCTTTGTGACGCTCAACAGAACCATCAGAAAAATATTTTGTCTTATAAATCCACTTACATCCAACCACATTTTGAGTATGGTCCCAAGGTACTAAATCCCAAGTCTTATTAGCAATTAAAGCATTAAATTCATCAGCCATGGCTGCCCGCCAAACCTCACTTTTATTTGCCTGTGTAAAACAACTCGGATCATCCGGGGGAGCTAAAACATTTAAATTAAAAATTGTTTTGGGTTTAAAAATTCCATCCTTAGCACGCGTACGCATGGGATGAATATTAATAGGGGCTGCCGGAGTCGGTGGAGTGCTGTTATCGGGCGAGGTGCTGCCAGACGAGGAGGAGGCAGGACTGCCGGGTTCAGGCAGCCTGCTGGCAGAGGACAGGTCGGGACTAGGGGGGCTGTCGGCCAAGGGCTGAGTGTTGGGATAATTAGGTGCTGGTGTGGTCGAATGGGAAGGGAGAGGCTCGGATGTGGGTAATGCAGATGGTGAGTTTGGAGAAGATGGTAATAGGGTGGGGCGGTGAAGAGGTGGCCGAGTAGTGGAGGTAGAAAGCCAGGAAGTTGGGGAGGTAGAGATGGGTGGTGTAGTAGGAGAAACTAGTTGGGGATATGGAAAAGTATTTTCATGAAAAGTGACATCCCTACTAACGTAAACTCGACCAGTGGAGGGTGAAAGACAACGATAGCCCTTGTACCCCGGTGCGTATCCAATAAAGACACAGTGAGTAGAACGTGGTGATAGCTTATTATGAGAGGCAGCAATAAAATTGGGAAAACATGAGCATCCAAAAACTCTCATAAAATTATAATCCGGGGTTTTATTAAAAAGTTTCTCATATGGAGTAAGACCGTTCAAAATAGGTGTGGGAAGGCGATTTATAATAAAAGTGGCAGTGTAAAGGGCATCAACCCAAAATTGACTAGGAACCGAAGAATCAATAAGCATTGTCCTAGTTAATTCGAGCAGATGCTTGTGTTTGCGTTCCGCAACACCATTTTGAGCCGGAGTCTCAGGACAAGATTTCCTAAATAAAATTCCGGATTGTGAAAAATGATTACGAAAAACCTGATTATCAAATTCACCCCCTCCGTCACTCTGAAAAACCTTGATTTTTAGATTTAAAATATTTTCAGCTAATTTTTGAAAAGCACAAAAATGGGTAAATACTTCAGACTTGCGACGCATAGGATAAATCCAGGTATAGCGAGAAAAATCATCAATAAAGCAGACATAATATTTAAAACCAAGGTTTGATAAAACTGGCGACTGCCAAACATCTGAGTGAATAAGCTGTAAAGGGGCGACAGTATCATGAGTAACATCAGCAAAAGGAAGCCGGTGGGACTTGCCCAACTTACAGGAAACACAATCATGAATAAAAGAAGAAGAATTGGAAATTAATTTATGCTGCCTAAGTCTACTAAGTACTCTATCACCACAATGCCCCAAACGCTTGTGCCAAATTGGACCAGGGACCACACGGGCTTGAAGGGCATGAAAAGGGTAAACATGATCTTTATTAGATGCCTGAAGAAGAAGCTCCCCCGTTTGAGTGTCCTTAACAGAAAAAGATTTTTTATTAAAAATTACTTCACAGGCATTATCCGCACACAATTTTTGAATAGACAATAAATTGTATTTTATATGTGGGACATGATAAACAGAAGTGAGATTTAACGGGCGACCACGAGTAGACAGCTTTAAACTACCAACATGAGAAATAGGCAATTTAGTACCATTTGCAACACATACTTGATTCGGGCCATTGTAAGGAGTTTTATAAGAAAGAATACCTTCATGCGGAGTCATATGAGCGCTAGCCCCCGAGTCAGGATACCAGACTGAATCATTGTTTTCACCAGTGGGAAGAGCAGCCAGAGCCGGGGTATGAGAAGCTGTAAAACGGGAGCAGTGTAATGCAGAATGACCTGGGGAAAAACACAATTGACAAACAACGGGGGGAGGAGGATACTGATAGGTGGAATCCACAGATGGAAAACCTGCATAAAAACTATGAGTAGCAGCAGTAGAGTAATAATCAGTATAATTACCACCAGAAATAATATTACACGATGCCAAACCTGGATTTCCAGAAAATACATGTGGACGCGGCTGCCCCTGAGCCGGCTGACCCGGAAAGCCACCATGCTGCGGTTGTGCAGCCCCGTACTGCTGCGGGTAAGAGCCTCTACCGCCGCGGCCTCTGCCCCCTCGAGCACGACCAGCCCCTCGCGGTCCTCGGCCACCACCAGGACCCCTCTGTTGACCACCCCCTCGCTGTGGACCAGCCCCTCGAGCCGCTGAAGCTGGAGCCGCAACAAAGGCTTGAGGAACGGATGATGATTCCTGGGCCTGGAAAAAGAGATTTCTCTGTTCTTGTGCTTGAAGAATGGGTCGTATGTCTTCCAGAGAAGGAATACCCGACATGCAGTCAATATTGTTGATGAGGGACTCATAACCACGACCCAATCCAATGATAGCATATTCAATTAAATCACGAGCACTCACAGGAGAGTTAATGGCTGCTAGTTTGTCTGCTAAAATTTTTATTTCAAGCAAGTATTGATCCATGGTCTGAGTGTCCTTCTTTTTCACATGAGAGAGTAAACGCTTCAATTCAACGGAACGAGAAATACAGGCAGACATGAAACGTTTTTGAAGCCTATCCCAGATAAGATGTGAAAATTTTAAATCATAAACTTCCATAAGGACATCTCGAGCTAATGTAGCAAAAAGCCATGATCTCACAGTTTGATCGATTTTTAGCCAATGATGATAGTCAGTATTGGGAATTTCTTGACGGGATAAATCAATTATAGTAGGGGATGGTGGCTGAATAGAACCATCCAAAATTCCCAATAAACTGTGAGAGACTAAAAATGATTCAAATTGAGTTCTCCAGGGCAAATAATCTTCGACCTCAGACAGACGAGTTGTCACAATATTATTCACATTCGGGGTAGAAAAAGCCAATTGTGATGCCAGGGAAGATAAAAAACTGATTGAATTATTAAAACCTGGCATGGAAGAACCTGCATGCGGCTGTAGTGGTGCTACCCCGGGCTGACCAGTGAAAGTTGGGCCCGAAAATATTGTGGAAGAGCCTCGGAGATCGTGAAAAACGGGCGGCGGTGGTAAAGAGAGGGCTGGAATCGTCGGGGCAGAAGTGGACCAAGTGAAGGGTTCGGGCATGCCAAAGAGCCGATGATTGTCGAGCGTTGAACGAAAACGCTGCGTTGCCGACGGCGGAGAGCGAATCTGGGCGACCGAAGAAGAAGGTCCAATCGGCATGGTGACGTGCGGCATGGAGAATTGGTGCATGCTGCTCGAGCCGAAGGAGTGTTGATCGCCGGCGAGCGCTGTAGTAGACCCGAGGATGCTAGCGGAGGTCTGCGCCGCCGTAGCGGGCGCCTCAGAGACGGCGGCCATAGGAGTAGGATGACCGGCCATAGAGAGGAAAAAAAAAATTTAACCTAAGCGACTGATACCATATACAAAACAATAATTTTGGGAAATAATGGCTTACCCTATTGGGTGCCTTGAGGGTGTATTTATACTAAAATCAAGTTTAGGAAATTACAACGCAATCCATGTATAACTACATTATTACATTGGTTACATTGTTCGAAGATTAATGAGATGACATGTTAGATCATTTCAAAGATTGACATTGGGGGAAAGAGATTATTTAGGGGAATTGTTTTAAATGAAAATCCGGTATCAACATTCAAACCCGAATTATTGTAGATTATAGTTAAAAAGCACTTCATGCATGTCATAAAAAAGCTAATTATATAAATATAGTTGTTGATGAATAATTTTAATGTGTAAAAATGATATGTCAATTAGCTCTACTAGAAAAACCATTTTTTCGGATGTTTTAAATGGAGATGCTCTAATAGAGCAATTGCTCTAATTTCAGAGGTGAATTGATTGGCTTGATGCCTTGAGTTGTTTATGACCAGTCTAAAACTCTCAACAAACGGACGAAATGCTCTGGAGTCTGGAGAGCATAAATTATTTCTCTTGCGAAAAACTACTTAATTTTATTCGCTAATGCCAAACACGCCCTTAGTTTTTACTTAATTACGAATTTGAAATTTTAGTCATATTGACCGATAAGATCCATTGACCGAAAAAGTAGATTACCCAAGGAGCTGTCATTATTTTTAGTCACGTTCTTCGCCAACCTAAGAATTCATTATTAGCCTGTCCACACTTTCGCTATCAAAGATGACGCCCTTTTTTAACTCTAAAACCGTCTCTTTTAGGAACATACATATAACGTTCACATCCACAATTACATAAATACGATCACTTTTTTAAGCGTAAATGCAATCAGTTTTATAAAGCTACAAACCCAAAGAACATACATTTACACAACTAATGCAAAACATAACACTAATGCAGTACTAAAATCAAATTAAACCATATCTTCTTCCTACAATACTTCTGCTACCATAGATTAATAAGAGGACCTAAATAAAAAAATAGTTAAAGGAGAAGGTCAATAAGGTAAATGCAATGACACCATACTGCGAAGTTTTGGTAGCCCAAACCCGACTTGACCCGCCCATTGCTAACCCAGCTTCATATGACCCACCATCAAGCAAGGCCTCAGATCCAGACCCGGATCCACCCGTGGTGGAACTACTCCTTGTCTGTCCTGCCCAATTATCCTCTATCCCCATACCCATACCCGTACCAGTACCCGAACCCGCAACCGTTGTCTCCGGATTGCTACTCTTGGTTTGACCCGAGTCTCCTGACCCATCATAATCTATCCCCATATCCGGACCCGCAACCATTGTCGCAGGCTCTGCGGGTGGGTCGATATTCTCCGACCCGGAAGTGGACCCGCCACCCTGGGTGCTCGTCGTCACTGGTGTAGAATCTTTTGAAGATTTTTGACTGGGAACAGAAGGACAAAACGTCACCGTATAATCTGCACCGCTGCACGTGAACGTACTGGTCGGGTCATCGTAAGCGTAGCTATAGGACCTGGGGCAGGCCGACTTGAACATTTGCGAGTACACCGACGGTTTGCAGGCGGAAGGTGTACCGTACGCGCCGCTGCAGCAGTATTCCGGCTTCGAGAACGCCTCACACGCGCTGCGGCAACCCACCCGGTTACCCGTTTTGAGCTCCGACGGGCAGATTTGGTTCAGATCCGTCACGCATCCGGTGGTGGCGCACATACCCGACCCGCCGGAAGCCTCCATCACCAGCGGCAGGTTGTAGCCGTCGACCAGGCTGACGTCATAGAAGTCCTGCCCGACGGTGCCGAGGGTGACCTCTGCTAAAGTGGCCGGCGGCTCAGCTCCGGCGCCATTGCATTCCAGCTGACCCGAAGCACAGTCCCCTGTTGCGCAAGACCCGGACCCGGATCCGTCGAATTTGCACCCAGTCCGGCCCCAGAACCGGCCGGACCACCCAGTGGGTGCCATGAATGTGCGTGAAGAGCCCTTTGGAAGCTCAAATCCAGTGGTTTCTAGGGTGGGGCTTCCTGCATTTGATAAAATCCCAGGCCATACTGTGCTTTCACATTTGTTAACGAACGTGAATGTCGCTCCGTACACATCTGAAAATCAAGAAACTCAAAATAAGTTAAAAATCGCACCTTTATCATCCAAAACTTGAAAAATCCATGAAAAAACAGTCATTTGCTTGGATTTTAAGAAGATGGTGTTTCTACCTCGAGCAAGTATCAGCAGAGAAAGAGTGAAGCTGAGAGTGAGAAGTGAGGAAGAAGATGGAAATGACTGCAGATCCATGAGAAGTGTCTTTCCGTTTGTTAAGAAGTCTAAAAGATCTTGTATATTTTTGCTTCTTCAATGGAGGGAGTGAAGCTATGAAGAATTTTCAGGGTTAAAAAAGTGGAGTGACTGAAAATGAGCTTAGCAGCTGCAAGTAGGGTGACATAAAGTCAGCATAAAACCAGATAATATATTGAAGGTGCGTCCAAATGCTAAAGCCCTAAAGTAGGGTGAAGGGGCCTGTTTGGCAAGGGACCTGATTGAAAGTGGTGTCTTGATGTGTATGCTGGAAATCCAAATAATTGAAATAATTAAATCTGTTCAATTTTATTTAAATTTTTGTTCAATTGATTGTGCCGTTAAACACGCTACAGTATCCAGAAGAATTATAAAAAATGTAGGCTGGGTTTTGTGAAGGTTGAAGATCCGGGTCGTGTGATCTATTTTTCGACTTATCAGGTTTATTAATTAATTTTTAATCAAACATGTAACTTTTAATTTCATGCGCTGAATTGTGTAATACGTAGTAATAAAAACGTAAGCTTGTAGTTACTCTTTTTACTATATTTGCTGAATTTACCGTACATGATCATTTTAGGTGTTTTCGTATTATTTTTCTTTATTTTATTAAAAAAATGATTTTTTTTGCATAAATCAACAAAATTAATCAATCCATCAACTTCAATCAGAACTTCATAAATTTCTGCAAAATCAATCAATACAATTGATTTGGGTATTACAAAACGAGCTCGAAATGTGGAAAGGATTGAGTGCATGATAATTCTTTAAAATAATTACCTGGGAGTATATATTTATATTGGCAAGAAATCAAAATATTAAAGACTTAATACTTGTTTATTTTAATTAAAGATTATGTAGTACTTCTTACTACTTAGGAATTTAGGATGTTCTTATATGAACTATTTTCAGTTCCACACCAGATCATTTTAGACTTAAATAGATTAGACCAAAATTTGATAGTTAAAGAACACACAGATCGGACATTTATCAGATCAAACATATTGAAACCATATGTTGAGGTTTATTCCCGAAGATCCGAAAGCCCAACACAAGCCTCGGATATTGTAGGTATATAGGGTTGGATTAAAATGTGTATAAAATATAAAACAGTGAGATATTTGCTCAACTCAGAAGCTTACCGATATTCAATAAATATGTGATTACACTGAGACTACCCGAACGGTAGATGAATATGAGATTACAAGGATAGGAGATGTAAATCTATTCCTAAGCTCTGAGTATTAAAATGCTAACCCTTTACAATGATCTAAACATGGATATTTATACTAAAATGGGGATGGGTAAGGTGGACACGTGGTCGAATCTGGTAGGCTGTCACCTCTGCCATGTAAGCACCCATGCCCCCACTTGCTGCCGCCATGATCCAGCATTAAATGCGGCCTCCACTTGCTGATTGCCCGTTCAGTCAAGGTGTTCGGTGTGTGGGACCCCGCCATAGGTGCTATCCTGCTTATGAACATATCCCGAACGCCGATCGGTATCTCCGCCATAGGTGATCTAGTTGATGGAAGTATCCCGAACGCCGATCGATATTTGGGCCTTGATACCTTGGCATAATCGTTACCCAGAATGTTCCAAGTATAAGTTTTATCCCGAATGCCGTTCGGGAGTTCTTTGGGCTTGCTGCTTCTTCCCGGATTTGGGCCTAGGGATATTGGGCCTGGACCCAATATCCCAACACTAGTCCCCCACTTCCTATGTCTCGAACGGTAGTGAGTGCATAAGGAAGTATAAGTTTATTGCCCGAATGCTGTTCGGGTAAGTATCGGATGGCATTCCGCCGGTTCCCGAGGCATATTTTGACGGTTATTTGCAACTGCCGTTTCACTTCTCCGATAAACGTCATGATTACTTTGAGAAGGATTCTCTGTGCGACACGTGTCTCTGTCATCATTACAAAAAACGTGTCCTCTTCTGATTGGCAGCTGAATCGGCGTGACAGAGTATAAATAGGCTCTTCTGGGTTTGATTCTGGGTTTCGAAACTTTGCATCTCCGGCTTAGTACTCTGCCTTCTCTCTAGAGCTTCTTCCGCTGCCTCTGTTCAGGTATCCTTCGAACTTCCTTCTACTGTTTATTTCCCTCGTTCGGTGAGAATGGCACCCCTTCGTTCATCTGAACCTTCTACTTCCAGTACCGCAATCCCAGAGCAAAACCCCAACGATGTGCTGCAAGTCGTCCCTATTCCGGCGAAAGTTAACGGTGATGATTCCTCTTCCTCCTCCGACGTTTACCC